TAAATTCTTCTCCAGTTTTTCTGGATGAATTCTCTCTCCCCTCCCTTCTTTCCAAAGGTGAAGCTGAGCTGAAAAATAGCATCGCACTGACAGATGGAAAAGCGACATTTAAAGTGGAAGAAGGTGGCTCTGGCATGCAGTTTAAATAAGTGTTTAGGTAACTTTTTATCCCCGCTATTCCTATGAAGAGAAGGCCGAGGCAGTGTCATGGAACGGCAAAGTTAATGAGCCAGACACCCGTTCAAAAACAGGTTTTTTAATGTTCTTAAGTAAAGCAGTTAAAGCAGGGGGAGAGAGGGAAGGTACCGCATTTTGCAATTACGCCATTGATCTATCCCTTTTCCCACTTTGCTTTGGAAACATCCGTCACACCCAATACATTAATGATCTTTTCTTTTTGATCTCGCCAAGAGACACCCAGGCAAGGCTTTAGGACTGGGTTTCCTTGACATGCCTTCCTCCTTTTTTCTTCCCTTCTCCATCCCTCCTCCACAGGTGCGTCCACACTGCAGAATTAATGCAGTTTGACACTGCTTTGACTGCCGTGGCTCGATGCCATTGCATTTTGGGGTTTGTAGCTGGGTGAGACCTTTCGCTTTCTTTCTCAGAGAGCTCTGGTGCCACCGCAAACTACAAATCCCAGGATTCCAAAAAACAAACAAAACCCAAAAGCGGAGCCGTGACATTTAAAGTGGTGTCAAAACTGCATTACTTTCTGCAATGTGGCAGCAGAGTTGGAAGGGTCCCGCAAAGCATCCCCAGCAGAGAGCTGTCCAGCTTCTTTTGGAAGATGTCCAGAGAAGGAGACCATACCATCTCTCTATTGCTAGACCACCTTTACAATTGCAAAGTTTCTTCTAATGTTCAAATGAAATCTACCCTCCTGTAACTTAAAACCATTAGACCTGGTCCTACCTTTTGGGGCAGCAGAGAATAAACCTGCTTTCCTTCTCTATTTGACAGCTTTTGCATGTCATTCCTCAGTCTTTTCTTCACCAAGCTGAACATGCTCAATGCCATCATAGATTTCATTCTCCATTTCTTTTATCATGGGGAGGAAACTCTATGCAAGGTATGATCTCTCTCTTTCTGTGTTTCAGAGATTTCTCCAGGCATTGCCAGTATATCCCATAGCCTGCCTTGCCTTTGCAGTTGTTATTGTGTGCCTTCAAGTCATTTCCAACTTGTGGTGACCCTAATACCAACCTATCATGGGGTTTTCTTAGCAAGATTTGTTCAAAGGAGGTTTGACATTGCCTTCCCCTGAAGCTGAGAAAGTGGGTTTCCATGGCCAAGGAGGGGTTTGAATCCTAGTTCAATACCCAAAGCACTACACCATGCTGGCTCTTTCTTTGCAGTCTACAACATTGTATTAATAAAAAATAAAACGAAAGCTGAGATGCTTAGATTCTACACAGAGATACAGCTCAGTGTCTTCTGCTCTCATCTGGAATTGCAGAACCCCAGCTGCTTTGCAAAACAGCTTTAGGGCTTTTCCCTGATAGCAGTTTAATTTGAGATCTCCACCCCCCTGAGGATTTCTTTAAAGGGGGGGATGTAAACATTTATGTTGGAGGTCCCACATACAGATAAACAGGGGCTAAACAGGGGAAATAAATCTGATGGGATTTATTTTATTTTTTACTCAAAATGTTTACATCGGAGAGATTCCCGAGGCAGCCGAAAAATAAAAAATAAAATATCAAATGCCACTATAAAATTACACACGGAGAAATACTAACAAGTCAACCAGTCAACTGATTGCAGTTCAAAAAGTCTTGCCATCAAAATGGTATTTAAAAAGCTGCAGAGAAAAGTGGCAGCTTGATTTTTCTGCCTCTGATGATGAATAGGAGTGAGATGGATAGACAGATAAAGAGCTGGGGATGTCAAAGGCAGGGTGCCCTGACCGAAAGGCCCTGCTTTTTATTGTAACCCACTTTGGTTCAGAAGGTGAAGGAACTCAGCTCAGGCCTCTAAAGAAGACCTTCAACTGGGCTTCATAGGAGGATGCTGGCCTTTCAGGTATCTTGATGCTGAGCTATTTAGGACTTCCAAGTGACTGTAGCATCCACTGTTTATGACAGGTATCCAGATAGAGCTGCGCTCCACTTTTCTCAGGACATAAGCATGAAATATGTAACACGGGGTGCATCTACATGAGTCAACAGTGTGATGTGGCAGCTAAAAAAGCCAATATGATCCTAGGCGGCATCAATAGTGTCTAGATTGAAGAAAGTAATAGTGCTTTGGGCAGATCTCACCTAGAATATCGTGTCCAGTTCCACTTCCAAGAAGGATGTGAACAAGCTGGAGCATGTCCAAAGGAGGGCAAGCAAAATGGGGACCACCAAGTCCTATGAGGAGCAGCTTAGGGTGCTGGGTATGTGGTGACATGAGAGTTAAGGGGTGACATGAGAGCCCTGTCTAAATATCGGAAGGGATGTCATATTGAGGATAGAGCAAGCTTGTTTTCTGCTGCTCCAGAGAATAGGGCACAATGGAGCCTCAATGGATGCAAGCCTCCATCACAGGGAAGGAGATTCCAGCTCAACATTAGGAAGATATTCTTGATGGTAAGAGCTGTTCAATAGTAGAAGACACTGCCTTGGAGTGTGATGGAGTCTCTTCCTTTGGATGTTTTTAAACAGAGGCTGGATGGCCATCTGTCACAGGGAGTGCTTTGATGGTGCATGGCAGAAGAAGGGTGGATTGGATGGCCCCTGATGGTCTCTTCCAGCAGTAGGATTCTAGGATTCTACACTAGAAATATTGCAGTTGGACACCACTTTAAGTTCTGTAGCTCCATCCTATGGAATCCTGGGATGTGTAGTTTTACAAGGCCTTTAGATTTCTCTGTCAAAGCATATTGGTGCCTTTCAAAACTGGTGCACACAAGGGCCAAGGATTATGTCCTTACAAAGTTGGCAGGTTTGAAATTGGCTGATGGTCACTTTGTTTTTATTGGCATCATTTTAAAAAACTATTTTGCAATTTATTTGCCTGTCATCCCACCCTCCCTGAAAAACACAGGATTTTTTTGGGGGGGTGGGAGAGAGGGGAGGCTATGGTCAATACTTCTATATGATTCCAAACAACTTCATAGTGCCTCTTTTGTGTCACTGATCTTTCGTGAGCCCAGGATCCCTGACAGATCTGGAGCCAGTATTTTTGTGTGTACTTTGGACATGCCTGGGAGAAGGTTGAAATAACCCGATGGTGTGGATCTCTCTACAGAAATGACAAAAAGGGAAAAAGTGGCTGCCAAGTGTGGCTAAGAGGACAGTTGAAGGGCACTCTGGAGTGGAGTGAAATGCAGTCACCCGCTGCCAGTTCCACTAAGGTTTTATTGGCATTTCCCACTTCTGGCATCTGGCTTGCAACTTAATTTTTGCTGCTGTCCACTTCGGTGCTTTTGGCTGCCTGTCTCCATTAACACAAGTAGATGACTTGTTGTTCTTGCCTTTTTAAAAAATTGAATGTGGAATTGACATGGCATAAGATGTTTTCCATTACTGCAAGGAAGGTGGTAGAACCGGGCATACCAAGCAAAGGATTTAAAGGAATTTCAGCATTCCTTCTAATGTTTAATCGGAATCTACCCTCCTGTAACATCAAACCATTAGACCTGGTCTTATCCTCTGGGGCAGCAGAGAACAAACCTGTACCCTCTTTTCTATGACAGCCCAGGTTTTAGACAGGTATTATTATTATTACTATTATTATTATTTCCCACTTTGGGCCAGTTTGGCATTCAAGACAGCTTGCAACAGATTTTTTAAAAAATAGTTAAAATCCACAAAATACAAAACCTGAACAATGATTAAATCAATCAAAAAATTAAAAGCGGTTGAATACATGGACTGTTTTAAGACGGCACAATACAAAAAGATCCAACTTATGGTGACCCTAAGGTAAATTTATCATGGAGTTTTCTTGGCAAGTTTCTTCAAGGGGTGGGTAGGTTGCCATTGCCCTCCTCTGAGGCTGAGAGAGTGTGACTTGCTCAAGGTGACCCAGTGGGTTTACTACTATCTGCAATCAAAAAGAAAGAGATGCCTCCATGGATGGCAGATGAAACTCTTCAAGCAGTTAAGGACAGTCGTGAATGAAAGATCTCATTCCCCATCCTACAGAGCTGGGGGATGCCTGGACCCCTGGATCTAGTTGAACTCTAGTTCCCATCAGCCTTAGCCAGCTTGACCAGTGGTGATGTTCGGGGTTCACTGAGACCTGGAGGGTCGGAGGGGTCTCTCTCCTTGGGGTCAACCATAAACAGGGGGCCAAGGTAACAACAGTCAAGCCTAGCTGTCTAGTTTCAGCTTGTTTCCTTTGTATATTTGAGTTCCCAGGGTCCATACTTGATGGATGTTTCTCACGGAGAATGAGGCTTTTTCATGTGAGAGGGAATATTTTATGTTCTGAGCCTGAGATGCAAAGTCGATAGGAGTGCTACCTAGATATGGCTGTGGGGTGCCCGCCTTTGTAAATAGTCATGGACCAAAAAAACCCCAAACACTGCCACAAACAAACAAACAAACAAATCAACAAACCTTCCAGAGAAAACCCAAGCTGCATGCCTGGTGTTTCATTTCCATTCCCCTTCTTAGGGCCATTATTGATGGGAGAAGCAAACTGAATGGAAAAGCTAAAAGTGCCCAGAGGTTTGTTTCTTTTTTCCCCTTCAAAATAAAGCTAATGTTTCTTTCTCTTGAAAGAGGACAGTTTATCTTCAGTGTGTTTTATGGGAGAGGGCTTGGCTAATAACGGAGCACCGACTGTATTGCTTTTTCAGTTTGGCAGCAAGAAGGAAACTCCTTGTACTGTGCGTAGCCTCTGTCACCAAGCAGATGGGTTTGGGAGTCCTTGTTTGCATGTTGGAAGAACCTTAACAGCTGTCCAAAGATGTGGAAGAGTTAACTTTTTGCATTAGCTTTGAAATTTAGGGCTGGGAATGGATGGGGAAAACCACTTGTCTCTGTTGCTAACCTGCTTGTGAGGGCCAGTGTGGTGTAGTGGTTTGAGTGTTGGACTAGGATTCTGGAGAGTAAGGTTCAATTCCCTCCTTGGCCATGGAAACCCATTGGGTGACCCTGGACAAGCCACACTCTCTCAGCCTCAGAGGATGGCAAACCCTCTCTGAAGAAACCCTATGATAGGTTTGCCTTAGGGTCACCATAAGTTGGAAACGACTTGAAGGCACACAACACACAACCTGCTTGTATAGGTCTCATAGCTTTTGGGGGGAGATGGGTCGCACTTGTGCATTTTGGTTTTTCTTGTTTGCTTCTACCCTTAGGACTGAAGCCCATCTTGCAATAGCTTCATGGGACAGGAGGAGAACCCCAGCCCAAGATCTCCTTGTATATCCAGCAATGGAGTATTTAATTGTCAGCTGAACTCATTTGGGGTCCCAATTCCACCATTGGTTGTGTGGAGCAAAAGGGCCAGAATGTGCCATCCTCTTCATCATTGACTTTCTTTAGGGAGCTATATAAAAACCTATATTCTCTATATAATACCCTGTAAACTGTTGGTAATATGGTTAAAAGCAAGGCTGCATCTGGAGATCATTGGGTTATGATCTGTCCTGGTTTTGGTAAAATTAAGCTCATGTTGTTTGTGACACTTTGCATAAGCTCAGAGACATTACTTTTTGTGGGTATCCTCTATCCATCAGTTGTTCTGTCAGTATATAGGTTTCATTTCTAAAGTCAGTATGACTTCAGAAAATTGTATTTTAATCTAAGAAACTTGGGTTGAGATGTAACTGCTTTTAGTTCATGGAGTCTAGGAAAAAGCAAATCAAGTAGTGCAAACCAGGCCTATGTTGTGCTTTTTCTTTCTAAGGGCTGGAAAAGTAGGTAGACTTTTTGTTACTGATGTTTGCTAACATAACTTTTATTTCTCAAAAAATCCACTATATTACCCGAGGAAGAAAAACCTTCAGTTACTTATAAGCTCTTGACCCTATTGCATCTCAACACAGATGGCATTCCAGGAGGCTAGCAGATGCTAAAAGTTGTCGCTCGGAGCCCACAGACAGCATTGAACCCTCCATGGACCACCGTAATTAAATCCGAACACTCCCACAGGGAATTGGAAGTGACTGGAATGACTTCTTCTTGCTCTACGGCTGTTGGCTTCTGAAAGAGAACTGTGCGGGATTGTAAATGTGGTTTTATCCCAACATTTTTGCAGGCAGGGTTGGAGAATCAAAATGGCCCTGGGGGAAAATGGCCTTTGGGGAGTCTGAAAATGTAGAGCAAACGGAAGCGCTGAGATAATAAATCAAGAAATAATAAAAAGCAGTAGGGTGGCAACCTGTCGGGTTTTAAATTGGACCTGGCTGGTTTCCTGCCAGCTGACCTGCTGTTAACTGTTCTGGTTTATTTTATTTTTTAAAGCAGCTAAGCCTCTTTGTTAGGAAAACTGTGAAAAGAAATTAGCATTCAGTGCAATATTAGAAAAAACCCTCCAGCTTTGCAGAGAGTCAAGCTGCAAAGGGTACTTTTGGGCCCTTCATAGAGCTAGAACTTGGA